TCATGAAATTTTAACCAAAAATAAAGGTGCCTCCCATACAAAATTTTCGATTTTTTATTTTTGAGAAAAAAAATAAAAATTTTGTATGGGAGGCACCTTTATTTTTGGTTAAAATTTCATGAAACTTTGTGATATTGTTTATTTTGGTCATAAAATAAGATTCACAAGTTTTCATGGTGATTGGGTCACTGCAATTTTTCATGATTTTCCAGAAAAATGTACCTCCTTTCCTTTCAAGTCGCTGTCTTATATGGAATCGCAAGTTGAAAATTTCTTCATATCTTGAATCTGGGGACTATAAGACATGTTTTTCCAAGTGGCCATAAAATTATGCCAAAAATGTTCCACCCTAATTGGCACTTCCCGAAGCAAAAAATTTTTTATAGCAAAATGTGTCTAATGTCAAAATATTGAATTAGCATTATTGATATGAACTGAGCCTTATGACATTTGACGTTCATTTCATTGGTTTTCGTAATGTCATAATCGCCGCTTCATCCATACCGAGAACATGTTTATCGTTGTGAATACCAAGTTTACGACATAAGCTACAGCAGTGTTAATTCCAATTCAACGTTTCAATTATTCTACGATTTTGTTAATAATTCATATTATTTTCGATATACGGGCGTTTTGTATCAATTTATTCCGAATTGTTCAACACTTGATCGATCGATTGATCCGGAGTCCAAGCAGATTGTTGAATTTAAATCACCGTGAGTAAACTTAATTTACAGTGAAAATTAAAGTGAAAAATATTGGTGAATTCATCGGTAAAAATTATTATTTTTGATGAGAAATTGCCAGCGAATACACGATTTATTCAAAATTTGAATTACTTGCTTATTCTATGCAGTTATTCATCTCCTTCTTATTGTGAAATTCATTCTTATTTCATAGCATGACATATAAGCCATTTGTAACGTGAAATATATTTAAACTAGTCCAATAATTATTTAACGTTGAACATATTAACAGTAACATTACATTTTATGAAAAAAGTAATGTATTTCACAATTATTCTGCAGTACATAATTCTGTTGCGTGAGGTGGTGAAATTCATTTCAAGCAGTGATACCCATTTTGAATTGGTTCCATTGTTTAGAGAAGAGAAACAATAACTCGCTTATCAAAGAAATGTGTTTAAATGTTTTTTTTCTCTCTAAATCACTGCCATTGTTATCAATCCGAAGATTTTTGTCATTTTTCTGTGTTGCATCACTTTGTGTGTGTACCAAAAAAAGCGATAGATTCGTGTTTTGTTGTCGTTCGATCAAATTGAATTCGAAATATATGTGAATATTTGTGTGGATTGGTTAAAAGGATTTTTCACTTTGATCGTATGTTTTGCATCTGTGCATTCGGTTGATATTTTCAAATTACATGTGAATGCTTTTATTTCAGTGCTGGTGCACATTTTTTTTCAATGTATATATTTTTTTATATACTTTTTTTCGATCGAACATTGTTTGATGTGAAAAGTCGTCACTTTTAAATTATATGGATCAATGAAAATTCAATACAAATTCGTTTTCAAACTAAATCGAATGTGTGTGTTTTTTTTCAATAGGAAAATGGCGAATCGCTTCAAGCCATCCATACCAGCGAAGGGAGAAACGAAGGACGAAATTACGACGATCAAATGTGCGCTGAAGACAATCATTCGCCCACAATTCCAGCAAGCATTGATGAGCAAAATAACGGACCTGAGTTTGCAAGCCACTTCAATTTCCTTTTTGGGCTCATTACTGTTCTTGTACGAGGTGCAAAAGGCGTACGAGCATAGGCCTTGAGAATAATGATTTCGCATTCTTTGGTGGAAGTGGAGAAAAAAAGATCCAACTCTGCTTTAACCAAGTGCTATGGCATAACAATCAGCCACCGAAACCGAAGTCGACGTACAGACCACGAGGAAAAAAGCCACGAGGACCACGACCAGAGCTGCCACGTATCGACCCTGAATTCAAAGCAATTGTCGAAGGTAATAAATAAAAATAGTTGATTTATTAAACAATTAAACCTCCTTATAAAATAGCGAGTTTTGACTACACAGTACACAATTTAGTTGAATTTGAAAAACATATTTTATTTTTAGGTCTTGACGACTATCATGGTATCGATTGGCCCAACAACAATGATTTCAACAATGGCCTAAAGCATATCACCAATCAATACACAGACAACGTCGTCACCAACTCAACAACGCATCCTGACAAAAAGATCACCCAGTACTTGAGACTAAAAGTGTTCGAATTGAACACAGACGGAGAAGAGGACGCAGAGAAATTTTTGCAAAGTGACATCGAAAGTGTTGTAAAACTGATCATCAAAGAAAAAAACATCAGAGTGCCAATTCACGATCCAAACAAACTCGAACGGTGTGGCTTTTTGTATGACATGGTGAACGACCTGAATGTGTTTCCAGAAATCGATTTGCATGACCTCACGACTGACGAAAAACATTGGTTTAAGGCCATGCCAATGTTCCTATCTATGCAACGCGAGATAGAAGAGTACAACTTGGAGTGGCCATATCAGCACCGATCCAAACGAAAGAAAAGAAAGCGCAAAAAGTCAAAGCGTCGCCCCAAGCGCAAACAAATGCTCGACGATCCAAACTTTCGGCCATTCATCCGGAATTTAGTAGTGGTGCCGATGTGTGATTTTCGCCGAAAGCACTACAAAATCGATTGTTCAAGCATGCACCAAGTGTTGTCTTCGCAAGAATTGCTACCGAAAGTGGAAGTTGAAAACAAAAACGGAACAACAAGCATGGTAATTCTTCCACAAAAGGATTTCAACGCTGCGCGTGATCATTGGTGGAATCAGTATTTCTACATGCGGAAAATTCGGCGATTCGTGCGTGGAAAAAAGAAGTTTGATTTTTCCATAAACACCGATGGAATCGCTGTGTCTCTGCAATACTCGGCCAAGAAGAAGACGAATAACACAGAATACGACCGTTCTCGCATCGTTGAAATGATTTTGGATGGCAAATTCGAAAATTTTGCAGGCGTTGATACAGGCTTGAAAAGTTGGAACACCACAGTGACACACAACATTATAACTGGCACCGAAGTAAGTTTTTACATTTATGTTGTATATGTATCAATGGAAGATAGACCGCGTAAGTGCTAAAATTCAATAACTATTCATTTATTTATTTTCAGACCAACTTCGTAATGTCGAGTAAGCAGTTTCACTGGAAAACAGGCCAAAACGTGCGAAATGCCAAAGCAAAGCGTTGGACCAAAAAGTTTACCGAAGAGGAGCGCCGAGACAGAGAGAACCGTGAGCTGTACCCGGTGATGCCATCACCAAAAGGGTCACATTGGCTGGACTACATCAAGCACCGAATCAAGATGATGAAGCATGGAATCTGCGCTTACTCGACTGCCAAGTACACTCGACTCGCCTTGGACAAACACATCAAAAGTAGTAGTGTTGTCGACAATTGGGTGGAAAAGGTTACCGATAAGCAGCCGACTTTGTTTCTTTTTGGTGCTGATGGCGAAGTACCACCTGACAGCCGAATAAGTATCAAAAAGCACGTGCGGTGTCCAGGGGTTCGTTTGACTTTGAGGTCAATAAAGAAACGTCGAGATTGTGCCATAGAGCTGGTGGACGAATGGGGATCATCTCAAACAGACGCAAGATGTATGAAGCGATTCCAAAACCAGCCCAAATCGGCCAGATTCAAGAAATGCCGGTGCATACCCGACGCCAGAACATTGCTGCCAATAAAAATTGTGTCAAAGTTGGGCAAGAAGGATCTATCGGAATTTCGATTGTTGCAACGCGCCATGAACGAAGCATTGGAAGAAAACGAGCCTTTATTGTCAAAAGTAAAAAGTTACTATAAAAACTGGCAATTAAACCTCGAATGCTCTGTGACTTGGCATCGTGACGTCGTGGCTGCTAAGAACATTCTGCTGAAAGGTAAGGCTAATTGACGATACAATTGCGATTGAATGATTGCTTAAGAAGATTCATTTGTTTGATTTTTCAGGACTATGGACATTGCTAGGACTTCCGATACCGGATGCGATCAATAGATATAAGGCCCGCGATGCTGTCGCTGAGGCCGCCGAAGTAGCCGCTGATGTCGCTGAAGCAGCTGCTGCTGCTGCCGCCAACGTAGATAATGATGTAGAAATGTTCGAGTACGACCAGCAGCCAGCTGATCATGCTGTCTAATCAGCACAACGCAAACAAAAAAAAAACAATTGTAACATTAGTTACTAAGGCTATCCCGACCATGTGGGATAGTAGCGTAGCAAAAGGTTGACACCCCATTTGGTTGTTGTTGACTGCGCAGGAGTACAAATGGGGCGTTTTTTCTTTGTAAGTAACATTCAATTTTGAAAACAGTTTTTTGCTTCGGGAAGCGTGACCATCAGTCGATGCTTTGTGTAAATGTCATGATTTGTCTTAGAATTTTTTGCACTTTTAATTAACGACTACCATTTTTTTATTTTCAGATATGAGAAACACCCTAATGTACATTGGACAATTTGTTGGAAATGATCAACAAATCTATTTCAATAAAGTGATATTCGTCGGTTGTGAATGTCCTCTTTTAAAGGGACCAATTGTTCATCTGAAAGAAGGGACATATATTTCAAAGGCAAAATCTTCATTTTATCCGCCTTCAATAAAGAAAGACTGGCTCAAAATTTAATTTTTCTCCATCAACTAATCTATCTAGGTGAACAAAAAAACGATAAAAAGCATTTTTATTTTTAATAAACTTTTTAATTTCAAAACAACCAAATGTGTCAATATAGTTTCGAATTTGAAAATGTTACATTTTCATCACTACTGAAGCATTAGACGAACACACTGCAAATGTGCACATCATAAAAGATTTGATCGCACCCATTAGCGGTACTGTCAAGAGAACTTTTTGTGTTGCGCCATTCTAACGCTTTCTCAAACGAAGTATACACGCTAAACAGCACTTTGTCCTCCGCCATTATTCTTTGTTAAGTTGTTTGTTTTGCTCAAAACAGTTAAACTCGATAAAATCAAAGTTTTTCTAGCAAATTGTCCATTTATTGACTATAGTGTGTGAAGAAAATTTTCGAGAAAAGTAAGTAAAATATCTGAAAATTATTCTCACTTATGACAAAAAATTCGTGGTAATTTTACTATTGATTATGATCATTATTGCTGTAATTTTCCACTACTTGTGAGTTCTTAGAATTTTGTCGGAACTACTCCTTCAATTAGTTGAAATTACCACAAATATATCCATTTCTGCATATTTTTTTCAAAATTAAAAGTATTCAAAATCAATGGCATTCATAGTCAAAGGTTACGCATGATTTTTTTATTCCGTCTATTCTGAGGTTGAATGAGGCAAAAGATATTTGTGAATTTCGCAAAATGCCGTCCGCCATTTTTCTTAGTTGATTTTTTTTGTTCATAAAATTCAATATTCCGTATTTCGCACAAAAATCGTGGTAAAAATCTAGTTTTGCATTTATTTCTCCGTGGTTCAAAAATGTCATCGAAATAATTAGTAAAATCGAGAAAAATTCAAACGAAAATAATGCGTCGTAATTTCTGTTCGGATCAAGTAATATAATTTTTCCATGGCCAACTCCGTTCTTGGAATTTAGTCTCATGAACACATGTCATAACCTTTGCTTGCACAGTAAGGAATCTTTTGTTTCAAAATGTAAGCCATATGCTGAGCTTTGAATTTAAATTCAAATAGTTTTTGGTGGATGGAATCAAGACAACTCGAATTATTGGCGTACTTTAATCAATTTGGTTTTTGGTTTGAACAAAATATTCACACAATTTCCAATCAAATTACATTCAATGAAATTGTCTATTTTGGATTTTATTCTAGCTTTGTTCTTTCTCAATCGCTCAATAAAAGACAAATACAAAGTCTCATGGCCAAACATTCTTTTATTTATTCCAATTTTTCCCTCATTTCAGTCGACTAACAAGCAAAATTAGAACCAGAATTCAAACGAGACTTTCGTTAAATCCGACGTACGGTGAACGTAAGTATTCGACAATGTTTGCTTCACTCTATACATTTTGTTGGAGAGAGTAATTGAAAGATCCCATTACTCATTTCTTCTTCAATTGTTCTTTGTTTATAGCTTAACTTACAATGGCAGAAACACCAAATTCGATCGTCTACAAGAACGTGGTGCCGTGGCGTGGCTGCGAAAAGCTCTATTTAGATACTCGTACGGCTGATGTGTTCTTTGTTTTTGGTTCTTCACGTGAAAATGTTGTGAAGGTTCCAGCGCATAAATGCATACTTTCTGCGAGCAGTCCAGTATTCGATGCAATGTTCTTTGGTCCTGCCCGGGAAATAGGCAACACAATAACCATCGTTGATGCATCGCCCGACGAATTTAAAGAATTCCTGCAATTCTTCTATCTCAGTTCAGTTCGATTGACGGTTGGCCACAAACCGAGAATCATGAATCTCGGTGAAAAGTACATGCTGAACGTTTGCAAAAAAGCATGCACCGAACTGTCGAAAGCAACATTGACCATGGAAAACATGTGTTTGGGTTACGAATTGGCCATTCTCTTCAATCAAGATGATCTGAAGGAATATTGTGAAGCGAAAATCAGCGAAAATCCAATGGAATTTTTTAAATCCCAAAGCTTCTTGGATTGTGAACCGAATTTGCTGCGTTACATTTTGCAGTTGGACTCGTTGAAGTGCGATGAATCAGTTGTATTCGATGGTTGTATGGCATGGGCCAAAACTGCCTGCATTCGAAAGGGTCTGGATGGGAATAATATGCAGAACCTTCGATCCGAGCTTGGCGATCTCTTTTATGAGATTCGATTTGGTGACATGACACTCGAAATGTTTAATGCTTGCGTCGATTTGTATGAAGGACTTTCGAGACATTATCGGAATGATTGCAAATGAAAATTTCCATCCAGCAAAATTTAGTCGGAAGTTGCGCTCATTGGTGTGTGACCGGGTTGATCATCTCAAATCATATACGGTAGAGAGTTATAAGGATCTTGGACCAATAGGATGTGATTATACTGTGTTTACATCAAATCGTCCACTTTTACTGACCAAAATTTGCTTCAGCGATTTTCTGTTCCAAAATGAAACTGTGAAACGTATCAACGTCTCATTTGAAGTGAATGGAAACGATTTTTCAACTAAAGATCCACGCCATACTAACATTTTCGGTCGCGTGCTTATTCAATTGCGTAAACTTAATGTAAATCCAAGAGAAGAAACACTGGTGGAGCTTGAAAAACCAATCGTCATCATGCCAAATGTCCTTTATACAATCGCTTTTGCTCTTGAGCCAAAATACCAGAGCACGTTTATCAAAAGTTTTCTGATCCACAAAAAAAAAGTTGATATTGGACACGGTACCATCATCGAATTTCATGATCTCCATCAAATTGATTCGAATGTTAGAAATGATACTTCTCTATCTGGACTGGTCACAAAACTCCACTTCCGAAACTACAAAGTATAAAGTACTCGAATGCGTACTCAATCCATTTCAAATCGATTTTTTCTACCAAACTATCAATTTATTCGGAGTAATTTTGCTTTGAAAAAATCCAAAACATTAATTTCAATAAGTGATTCTTCTATAATCTATATTCATATTTAATTTAAAAACTTAATTCTAAAACCATCATTCATTTACTATTAAAATATCGGAATTTCTCTTAATTTTAAAAAATAAGCAAAGAACTTCCAATTAAAATGTAAACGAATCGTTTCAATAAATTCCAATCGGAACCCAAGTGTTTTCTTTCATTTATTTTTTCTTTCAGCAAGAGAAAGCGCAAACTGCTTGATGAGAAAAGTGAACGTGGTAAATATCTAAAATTCAGAAAATTTATTTGAAATTTGGCTATAGTCTCTATATTGACTATAATAAACTAATATAGATATCAGGCTACTTTTGATGGTGAGCCAATGAAAATTTACACCAATTCCATCTGTAACTTTTCTCTGCTGCTTCCAATACACTAAATCAACTCTTGCTTTACATACTGGCTGACTTATATAATATGTTTATGTGCAATTAAATCAACTGGCCTAGTCGACTAAATATGAGAGATTTTCTTAATACATAAAAAAAGTTTTGTGGTCAAGAACAATAGTAGCTTACTCTATAGTTCAGTAATTTTTGGTGTAGGGCGGCGCCACCGTATGTACATAGAAATTTACATTTAAACTAACGCCATCTAACGTGTTTGATAATTTTTTTCCCCAAAAAAGTGGCACTATAACCCGTCTTTGGTCAAGAACATTTGATTATTTGATGTAATTTTTTTGAAAAAAATATTCAAATTTCGCACCCAAAACGATTAATCAAAAGTCAGAAGATCAGTCACAAGAATCACAACGATTTATAAATTGAAACAAAATGCTCGTTCAAAAGATCAAAAATTTCCGCAGAACAATAAAAATCGGCATTGAACTAATTGTTCTTCAGTGTTTAAAATGACACGTAAATTTTCCCTTATTCAAAATGCATCTATTTTTACCAAACGATTTGTTGTTTACGTTCATTCACACCCTCACCTTTATTACAGTGCAGTGAGTTCAACACAGTTCGGTGATCCATGAGTTTTACTTAATTGTTGATAAGCACTGACTCATTGATGTGTGTATCAAAATTTCACAGACAGACAATAAAATGCCTTTGTTGGACTTTGTTATCTTATGTTATTATCAAAATGGTTAATTTCGGGCATTACTCGGAAATCTTATCGTTTGTAAATGCTGGGTAGAATGCAAGCATCACTTCATTTGGTATAAATATCGCTGCAATTGTCGTACAATCGTATTCAAAGTATTATCATTGAACACTTTTGTTCTAATACCATTTTGCGAGTTTATTTTTTTGGCAAATATTAAAAAGAAACAAATCTTCAAATTCAGTAGATAATTGTGGTGAAACAGTATTAATTGAAGCAAATCATATCAAAACAATATTGAATTTATAAATTTCAAAAGAAAGTGGAATCACGAAGACTGAAAATGGATCAAACTTCAATCGTCTACAAGAATGTATTGCCGTGGCGTGGCTGCGAAAAACTGTATTTGGACTCTCGTACAGCTGATATATTTTTCGAATTTGCTCTGGAAAGTAATGAATGTGTCAAGGTTCCAGCGCATAAATGCATTCTCTCAGCGAGTCCAGTGTTCGATGCAATGTTCTATGGTCCCGCCCAGGAAATGACAAACACAGTAACCATCGTTGATGCATCGCCCGACGAATTTAAAGAATTCCTACAATTCTTTTACCTCAGTTCAGTTCGTCTGATGGTTGAAAATAAGCCGGCAATCATGAATCTCGGTGAGAAGTACATGTTGAACGTTTGCAAGAAAGCATGCACCGAACTGTCGAAAGCAACATTGACCATGGAAAACATGTGTTTGGGTTACGAATTGGCCATTCTCTTCAATCAAGATGATCTGAAGGAATATTGTGAAGCGAAAATCAGCGAAAATCCCACGGAATTTTTTAAATCCCAAAGCTTCTTGGATTGCGAACCGAATTTGTTGCGTTACATTTTGCAATTGAATTCGTTGAATTGTGATGAATCAGTTGTATTCGATGGTTGTATGGCATGGGCCAAGACCGCCTGCATTCAAAAGGGTCTGAACGAAAATGATATGCAGAACCTTCGATCCGAGCTTGGCGATCTCTTCTACGAGATTCGATTTGGTGGTATGTCAACCAAAAAGTTCAATGACTATGCCGACACGTTTGAGGGGTTATTTTCCATGAAAGAGTTCCGAGACATTGTGGCCATGACTGCGAATGTAAATTACCGTCCACCAAAATTCAATCGAAAGCCACGCTCATCGGTGTGTGACCGGGTTGATCGTCTTGAATCACATTCGGCCGAGAGTTACATGTACGACGGCGCAAGTGGCGTTGATTACACTGTATTCTCATCGAATCGCTCAACATTATTGACTAAAATTTGCTTCAGTGACTTTATATTCAACGATGATAAAGTACATCAAATCAGTGTAAGGGTTTCAGTGTGCGCTCTGATTAAGGGAACGCGTTTAGACAATAAAATTGTACCGGCTCACATTTTAACGCGTCAAATCGATGTAAATCCAAGCGAAGAAACATTGGTGGAGTTCACAAAACCAATTGTTATCAAAGCAGACATGCAGTATAGGATCACGTTTGAAATTGAAAAGGCATACCAACATGTTTTATGCAAGAATTTACTGGCTCATAAAGAGAAAGTCGATATAGGAGATGGAAATATCATCGAATTTCATGATCCAGGCATATTTTTCACCAACAAAAAATTTGGACTGTTGACACAATTGCACTTTAGGAACTAACATTTGGGCATATGTATAGACATGTATTCGCATATATTTCTACTCAATTTTTCGAATTTCTACTTTATGTCGCTGTGATGTTTATCCATTTCGAATTATCAGTAGCAATTAACAGTATTTTTAGAAATGTATCTATTAAGCTTGAAGTATCTATTTTTGGTAACATTCTTTTTTAAATTGGGCGAAAAAAATTGTTTCATAGTATGAATCATACATTCATTGGTTTTACGACGAAATTGTGAGCATTTTTATTTTAAAATGATATTAAACAAAAGCAAAATAGTAGAAACATTTGAAGAGACTCGATTTATTTCGGTTGAATAAATAAAATGATAAAATCCAATTGGAGACAAATGAACTTTTTGCTTTTTTATTTTGTTGCCATTCAGTAACAGATATGACTTGAAATGCAAAACAAGATATTCGATGCGAAGAAAGAACGAAAAAGTAAACAAACAAAATTTAAACGAATACCACTCTCCACCATGAATACCGTTTTACCCGCTAAGAAATTTGTTGCGGGTAAAATTACATTTTACCATGTGAATAAATACCCTCATGTTAAAATGGCATTTTACTCTGATTACTTTGAATTTCAACATCTGAGTTTTCTGAGAACATGTAAACACAATCAATTCCATCGGTGACACATATGACAAGCATGTATGCATGTGTGTATAATACACAGAATATTAGTTATTCATCCTTTGGAACGGTCAACACATATTAAGCGACTGGAAGCGATTGTTGTGAAAGTCACATCTGCACAACTACATACAACATAATTTAATTGACGTTTCCTGTGTATTATGTATACTCTGTTCGCGTGCATCTCGTCTTCACATTCAGTGCACAACAGTATTGTTTTATTGGGCAAGCTGAAAAGTTCAAATTTATAAAAATCAAATTTTGTGGCTACAAAAGAGAATTTACGTAAAAAATGGCAAAACAGTCGACCTTAATTTCATACAAAAACGTATTAGTGTGGCGTGGATGTGAAAAACTGTATTTGGACGAACGAACTGCCGATGTGTTCTTCATCTTTGAATCTACGACTGAAAATGTAGAAAAAGTTCCCGGTCATAAATATATTTTGTCGTCGATCAGTGAAAAATTCGATGCAATGTTCTATGGTCCGAACAAGACAGATAGTGACGTCATCATGGACAACACACCAGTATCTTCTGAAGCATTCAAGCAATTTTTGCAGTTTTTCTATCGTCATACGGTCAATTTATCAATGGAACATGTGGCTGAAGTGATGGACTTGAGCAAAGAGCACATGCTTCATGATTGCATCACCGCCTGCATTGATTTGTGCAAAGAAAGTTTATCTACCGACAATATATGTTTGGGATACGAATTGGCGATTCTTTTTGAGCAAGAGGATTTGAAGAAGTTTTGCGAAGAGAAAATCAACGAACATCCAACCGAATTTTTTCAATCAAATGGTTTTTTGCTATGTCAACCGAATTTATTGCGTTACATTCTACAGTTGGGTTCATTCAAGTGCGATGAATCACTCATATTTGATGGTTGCATGGCATGGGCCAAAGCTGCCTGCATTCAAAAGGGTCTGTATGAAAATGATATGCACAACATTCGATCGGAACTGGGCGATCTTTTCTATGAGATCCGATTTGGTGACATGACACTGGAAATGTTTAATGCCCGCGTCGATTTGTACGAAGGACTGTTTTCAATGGAAGAATTCCGAGATATTATCAGAATGATTGGCTCAAAAGATTATCAACCACCGAAATTCAACAGAAACTTGCGGAACCGCAAACCAAAGCAACCGATTGAAAAACAGTTATTGTGTGACCGTATCGATCGATCGGAAATTGGTTTAACCGAATATCGCAAAAATTGTGTCCCGACAGTGTTCTCAACGAATCGACTGCTTTATCTGAAGGACATTTACTGTGGTACATTGTTCGATGAAACCAACACGCATGCAGTATGTACAATGCAAGTGGGTGAACTTATTGATGTATTTGAAGAGTTTCGGAGTGTCAACTATTGTTGTCAGATTAATTTGAACTCAGTAAGCGAAACGAAAATAGAGCTACCAACACCAGTTGTCATCAAGCCAGATGCCATCTATGGAATTGTGTTGCAAATTGGATTGAATCATAAACATGGTCATAAATACCGAAGTTGCCTCAAACTAAAGCACGATGTTCAATTGGATGACGGTATTGCTATCAGGTTTTATGATATTGAAAACGATTTAATAAATAATGGACCCATGTGCGATTTGGTAACCAAATTGAATTTTGAACGGCAGAATGAAGACTACGCAATGTGCTGATTTCTATAATGTTCGCAGAATAATTCGGTTTTTTTTTTTTTTTTTCGACAGTAAAATCATGATTTCATGAGTTCCAATTGAAAAACTAATCATAAAATATGTAGTAGATAAGTGAATTCAAAATAAAATGGATCCAACAATTTTGCATTTCAATTAAATCAACAACAGCATTTTTATTTGTTTTTATAGGACAGAAGCATTCGAAGCGAATCGATTAATAATAACATATTGACTTTTCGTTCTTTCTTTCTAATAACAGACGCAGTCTGCAAATAATTGCAGTGATTGCAAAACAAGTTATGTGATGCGAAGAATGGAGGATACAGAAAACCAAAAAAAGCAATCGCTACTCACACACGCGAACGTAGACAAAACAAACAATAAATTTTTTGATCGGTGTTTGTTCGAAATGGAATGAATGATCGCACACATGCAATTGTATGTGAATGGTCAAATTGATGCTTCATTTAATACTTCAACGATGGAAGTTCCATTTGCGGCATATGCCTATATGAGTGTATGTTATTGCTTTCTTTAGAAATTCATTCTGACATACCAAACGACTGGAAGCGATAGTTCTAAAAGTAGGAATACATTCAAAATATACGTTTTTCTTTTTTCAAAATTTTTCCAGATTTTCTATCGTCGTACGGTAAATTTATTTATACATACTTATTTTCAACGGTTGTGCATATCTTGATGCATTTATTTAGAATGTAGACTTATCTTAGTGTATTCATTTCAAATTGATGTGAATAGAATAGTCCATGAAAAAAGTTTACCCTGATTTTTGATTGAAATTTCTTAAAATTTGGTTTGAGATTATGTGTTTTAATAAGAAAATAAGATTCACAAGCTTTTATTTTTTAACAAGATTAACAACAAGGTTATACGATAATAAATTTCTAATTCGTAAAATTCAGCTGGTTTAAGATTAAATGGTCATAATACTTCAATTAAACTGTTTTGAATTTATCCTAACACAACTGATTTAAGGATTTAACAAACCGATAAAACACACATTTTATTAAATTGCCTTCGATCGTGACCGTGCAATCGGTTAACATTGCAATGGAGCTCAGTCTTCTTCCTCACTATCTCTGTCCGAAATCATGAACAATCTTCTAAACGGGAGCGTGGGCATGAGTAGAATGTTTTTCATACATATTTCGGAATTTCATGGGCAAATAGTTCTCGTTTGTGTCTACTAGATGTCAGAAACCAGATACTTGTGTAATTTTAGGAACAAAAACATTGCAATTTTGAACTAATAAAAGATATGGAAATAAAATAATAAATTCCAAATGTGTTCTTAATCTTGTTTCCCTTCAGGTACATCAACAGCTTGCAATGTATTCATGCGATGAATGCACGACAAAAAAAAAAAACAAATAAAAACAAACGTTACTCATTCAAACGAATATCATAAATGAGATAGCGATAATAACAACAAAATATGATCGGTGTTTGTTCTAAATGGCAATTCCCTAGGGGTTGTACACCGTTTGTAAATGAAGAATATACAGCAAATCCACGATTCTCGCTATTCTTACAATTCTCACTATTCCGACGATTCCCAAAAATTCAATGATCTAGTTTATATTCTGGTTGTACAGTATACACACAACGATAGCATTTAATTTGAATCTAAAACATTGAAATTTAATTTTTTTGTAATTTTGAGAAATTTGAATTAAAAATTAACACAAATTTAACATTTAAATTGCCAATGACTACATATTTTGTGTACGTATATAAGTTCGTTGTTCAAAACTGTCAAAACACGACCAACGAACTTATATATACATTGACAGTTTTATAAATGAACTTATTTATATTCATAAGCCGTACAACAATTAAAATAATTTTAGTTCATAAATTTGATACAAATTATAACAAAAAATATTTAATTTCCAATGTTTTCAATAAATTAAAATTGCTTCATTAAATTTTTAAACCAATTTTAGTAAAAAAACACGAACCGTTTTATGCTAAAAACCAAATTCGACGATTTCCACTATTCCGACGAATCCGACTGTTATTTACGAATCCGAAGCAAATGACGATTCATAATCCGAGTGTCCAACCCCTAGGCAATTCCATTGTGGAATAAATAATCGCACACATGAAAGTTGCTTGCGAATAATCGTAAGTGTCGTATTCATTCGTCTTTTAGAACTTCCATCTATCATATATCATATGTACACTCACACTTATTAAAAAATGACTGGAACCGATAGTACTAAATGTCAGAATTTCACAATTATGATCAAAGATTGCGATTGAAAAGTCCTTTGTGTTGCACATTTAATAGTCTGATCTATATCTTATGAGAATTGTCTTAATATTCAGTGCGTATTCGTAGTTTTTTGATCAATAGCTGTAAAATTTCAAAGTAACAAGCACTCAAATCGTAAGAATTTACGTAAAAAAGAAAATGGCAAAAAACTTGGGTTCAATTACTTACAAAAATGTGTTGCCGTGGCGTGGCTGTGAAAAGTTGTATTTGGACGAACGAACTGCCGATGTGTTCTTCATCTTTGAATCTACTGAAAATGCAGTAAAAGTTCCCGGTCATAAATATATTTTGTCGTCGATCAGTGAAAAATTCGATGCAATGTTCTATGGCCCGAACAAGACAGATGGTGACGTCATCATGGACAACACACCAGTATCCTCTGAAGCATTCAAGCAATTTTTGCAGTTTTTCTATCGTCATACGGTCAATTTATCAATGGAACATGTGGCTGAAGTGATGGACTTGAGCAAAGAGCACATGCTTCATGATTGCATCACCGCTTGTATTGATTTGTGCAAAGAAAGTTTATCTACCGACAATATATGTTTGGGATACGAATTGGCGATTCTTTTTGAGCAAGAGGATTTGAAGAAGTTTTGCGAAGAGAAAATCAACGAACATCCAACCGAATTTTTTCAATCAAATGGTTTTTTGCTATGCCAACCGAATTTATTGCGTTGCATCCTGCAATTGGATTCATTGAAGTGCGATGAATCAATTGTGTTCGATGGGTGCATGGCTTGGGCCAAAGCTGCCTGCATTCAAAAGGGTCTGTATGAAAATGATGTGCAGAATATTCGATCTGAACTGGGTGACCTCTTCTATGAGATTCGATTTGGTGACATGACACTCGAAACATTTTATGCTCGTCATCGTTTGTATAAAGGTCTTTTGTCGATGGAAGAACTCAACGATATTCTTGGAATGATTGCTTCAAAGGATCATCAACCACTGAAATTCAACAAAAACTCACGCAATGGTGCACCAAAGCAACGGAATGGAAACGTATTATTGTGCGATCGAATCGATCGATCTGATGTAGATATAATGGATTACGAAAATATTCAACAAACAGTTTTTGCTTCAAATCGATTACTTAATCTGAAAGAAATTCACTGTAGTGAATTCTTTAATAAAACTAGCACCCATACATTATGCACAATGAAATTAGGTGAGGCCCAAGAAGAATATGTTAGAATGAGTAATCCGATTTATTGTTGTCAGGTTACTCTGAGCTCATTTCAAGAAACAAAAATACTCCTGCCGATACCTGTACTTATCAAACCAGATGTTAAATATGGTATAGAATTTGGATTTAAAAATTATGCTAATGGTGCTGGCGTTGAATATTGTTACCATAATTGTGTTAAGCTTAAGCCAGAAGTTCGAATGGATGACGGTGTTGTTTTAAAGTTTTTCGCAAGTCGCTCACTTAATGGTCAGTACTTTGAATCAACGAATGGTTTGGTAACCAAAATGTGTTTCGAACTGCAACCAGAAGACTCAATGCATTGATTGATTTCTCAAATAACAAAATACATAATACATGTGTTGACAGAATAATTCTACATCTTTAAAATCTCCATTCCAAAAAATAACATAAGCATTTCATGGGTGCAATTCGAATAATTACAGTAGAAAAGTAGTCTCAATAAAATCCCCCAAAAAATAACTCAAATGTCACTCTCCCAAACAATGTGAATAAAAACTCTCTTCATTTGCTATGTAATTAAAAAATGCATTTGTTTCTTTTTATTGAACAGTTTAAATATACAATGATCTCAAGAAATATCCGATCCAAGGTTTTTCGAAGGATCATGGTGTATCGTATCAACTTTACTTAGTTTGAATTCAAACCATTTGAATTATCCTCAATTTGAATCTATCTTGAAAGAATTATAACTGTATAAAATATCGGTTTCTTGGTACAAGCCAATTCTGGACGAATTGTCATATATATATTCTTATCGTGCACTATCTCTTTGTTTTCTTACAATTTTTCTTAAATCAACTTTTATATAAAACAATTTCAACTCGAAAGTTGCATTTAAGTAGTGAATTTTGCTGGAAATTCCAATAGATTTTTACACCGTTTGCATGGACGATGTAGATGCGGTCGTGGTATTTTCCGATTGTTCCTTTGGCAATGGTCGGCGAAACAACAGCACATGTGGCTCTGGAGCGTGAAGCATGTAATGAACCCAGCCGGGACTCTGTTGAACGCCCAAATTTCGCCATTCCGTTTCGGTCATCAGATGCGATTTGGGTACTTGACGGGCCAAATCATTCGGCAAAATGACATGTCTGAAATGGAAACAAACGACTTTTGTTAGAAACATTCGGAAACATTCCAGTCAAAAATTCACAGGATTTTGTATTGGAAAGGAGGTAAATTGACAATTGGTTCGTTGGTTCGTTTTGTTGTGACTACATTACCTGTATTCGTACTGGTTGTCATAGTACTTTTCCGAGTATTGAATTTGATCGGTCAACATGGTTGAGTAATGAAAACTGGCAAAAAGTACACGCTGCAAAGTCGCTTGATTCAATGCTTTTACTATCGTTTAATTTGTCGTTGAATTTGGTTTTATTTTCGTATTAATTCAGAGAGAAAACAAATATTTTGCCGCACAAAAAGTGTATGATATTCAGAATATAAACATTGAAATTTTGACAGCTGTCAGTGTTTGAAATACATACACATTTGAAGCGATGAATTGTCGGAATGAACTTTTTAGTACTCAATTCAGTTGATGGAAATTTAAGCGAATTTTAATTCATTTCAACGATTTTTTTCATTTTCAATTTTATTTCCAACGAAAAAAGTATTTTTTTTTCTGCTTTTTTCCATCTTTCCGTGTTAAAAACCAGTACATTGAACCTCAAAACTGTTTCATCAACGCTGTACTAAAATTCGCCCAAAACCGAATGAATGAATCCGAATTCATTTACTTTCCAACGATGTGCGATGTGTGTATGTATGTCAGTATGTGGTGTTTGGTTGTGTGCGTTGATATGTCCATAAACAAATCACCTAAAAATAGATTGAATGGACGACAGTTCATCGATGTGAAAAGTATTCACACAAACATTCTCATTCTCTCGCTCTTTTTGACATTGTTAAAATCCATTCGGAAAATCGTCGAAAAAATCAAAATCATTTTGCCATTGTCATCAATTTGAAATAAATCAGAAGAAAAATCATTTTGACAATTTGGCGCAAAGTAAAAAAGTTCAGTTCGATCTCCGTACGGCCAATGCAGAAAATGTGTCAAAAGTAAATACAAATTTGGTGCGGTAAGAGCGAGAGAAGAGTGAGATAGAGAAAACAACGGGATTTTTTTCAAGTGGATCGGATCTAGTTGGACATCAGTGAAAAATGGTCGATGCCAGTTTAGCATACGAGATCCTAATGTATCTCAATTCATTCTATTTTGGTAAGCGACAGTAAAAAAAACTCGATTTCTTTCACATTGTAATCTGTCTGTGAATGCTATTTTAGGGTTATTGGCCTTTGTCGAGCTTGGAGTCTTTATTTACAAAATGGGTAAGTTCCACCAGTGTCATTGACTGGTTATGACCTGATCTAAAGCTATGGATCTAAATAATTTCTTTATTTTCTTAAATCCACCGTCCGTCCACAGTGAAATTGGGTAAACAAAAATTATCTTTCTATTATTTAATAATTGTTATTGATTATTTTTCGATTATTTGTCGATTACTTATCGATTATTTCCAATTAATTCTTTTCTTTTGTGATTCTCCCCTTAGGTAAACGCTATGAAGCATCGGTGCTGCTCTGGGGTAAGTCTCGTCTCATTTTGATTGAACCAAGCAGTGATTTTAATCGATAATTTTTGTCCATATATTTTCAGACATTGGATATCTATTTGGAACGTCATTGCTCGAGACAATACGAATCTACTTGGGTAGAAAGAGTGGGTGTCTAAACAATTCCATAATCATAAAATCCAATCTAATTCCAAATTTTTTTTTTCCCCATCAGGTTCACTGAGTCGACATGGTTGGCAGGTTATTGTGTCGGTAATATTGACGTTGCCATGTATGGCAGGCATGTGGTATTTGATTTATTTTCAAGAGGTTGCAATTTATTTGGAAATAATCTTGTGTGCCTTGGAACTAATGCTACAGTTCACCGAAATTGTATATGCAATATTATTCACATTTACCGCATGCCGTCCACGCACATACACCTAACATTTGGCCAACAGCACCGACACAACAATTCAACAGCTGGTTGCCATGCGAACTACGTCTACCAAACAAAAACACATCTGAACCACAGCAACCAACAACAACAACAATAAGCACGTGCTCGTGTTAATGGGGTCGCACGGTGTTGATTATCAAAGAAAAAACACTTTGAATAATATACAATTCTAGTCGAATTCTAGTCAGATAAGCCATCAGTTTTTTCACCGTTTTAATGCTACACATAAAACTCATTATTTTTCCTTTAGTCAGCAAGCGTAATTTTTTTTATATAACGTTTGATACATTAAAAATAGAAAACGGCAGCTTTAATACATTTTTACATCAACATTTTACTTCAGCAGAAGAGGTTGGAGTGTTACAAGCGACCAATGACAAGTTAGAAAAAACACATTTTTTTGGAACACGAATGTGAACGAGCAATATTATGGAAAATATTTCGAATAATCGACAATTTAATTGATTCTAATTTGAAAACAGCCGAAAGGCTGATGCATCGGTGTTCAATTTTCACGAACTAAAGGGGAGAGATTATAAAAACACGAACAAATTCCAAGCAAATTTTGAAAAATTTAGTAAAAAAAATCTTAACGGTAACCAAGTGATGAGGGGTAATTTTTAAGCCCATGGGTGGGTAATTGTGACCCTCTGGATCCTCGTCTTTTTGTGAGACAACCGAACTGAGAATTTCGAAAATTGATGCCATTGCTTCCGATACCGTCGAGATTTCGAAATATTTTGATAAACCGTTCACCGAGTTTCGTTCGGTTTACTATTTTGTCAGACGGCGAATATTGCTCAAAGTATTTCCCTTCGAGTTTAAGAGTTTCATAAAAAGACGTTTTAATTAATATATTACAAAATAATTTAACCCATATCTGTGGTCTGACCCAGTTATCCAAAAAATGTGTTGTTTTTATCTCGTAATCGTCAAATTTTTCGAAACTGAAACAATTCGGCTAAGGTCACATCAAATCATATGGCATTTAATTTACGGTTAACCAATCACAATCGAACAATATCGTTGACATTCTAACTGAGGTGAATTAAGTGTGAATTATTTTTTAAAACATTTAATATTTTAATAATATTGTACTACCTATTAAACTCAAGGAAACAATTAGGTCCAAACTATTCGAGAAAATGTAACTCAGAGAGCTTCACACATCTAATATTACATCTGAGCCATGATATTGATAGTGAGAAATTTGTTCATAGTTTATAGTCACTTGCAACGAATATGGAAATAGGCGATTTTTTCAGCAAACAAAAATTTGTAATTTTTTTTCAGTGAGGTCAACTGGATTAAAAATTGTAATTTTTACCAAAAAAATTCTTATTTTTCGTATAAATTCAAATTTTTTTTGTAAAAAACATACACTTAAAATCTTCTTCTAATCAGTGATTTTTGGAAAAGAAGAATATTTTAAAAAAATATCGGTTATTGATAAAAAATCAATCGGTCGGGTCGGTAAGACTTTTTTTCCATCAAAATTACCAAGAAATTCCACTGAAAGAGTTTCATTCCAACGGCCACCCCGAAAAAGTCGTCTATTTCTCGCATGAAGTAAAAAATTATTATTAAAAATGTACCCCCTAAGTATTAGGATCGATTTGATTTACTTTCATTCCTTTTCAATATGAAATATTTACATATATGTAAAAATTCTAGTCCAAAAAAAATGTATGCCTTGTAGTGCCATTAGGGAATGTCCTCAAAGCACAATGGAAATCAGTGAGAAAATGGTAATCAATTTGAATCGTGTCTTTGAATTAGTCTGTAGTCCTGAACCAATTTTTTTCTTTGGCGCCATCCATTGACGATGCCGTCGAAAAATAGAAACAATTCCAAAATCCTCTTGTAGAAATTTAAAAAAACAATAATAATCATGTGGTTTCCTCGTAGAATATAAAAATACATCCACGATAGTATTTAATCTTAATTGTTTTCAATGTGGTTTCTTAGTGTGGTTTCATTTTTCAAACAGCCTTTTGTTTGCTGGTCTCCCATTCTAAAGTCGTGATTTTTTTTCTCTCGTTTTGTATTTATATATGACCGTAAAAAAATTAAAAAATAATAAAACATTTCATTTTGACAAATAAAACGTCCTTTGGAGCAGTTCCTTTGAAAAAGTTAGTCGCTAAACAGTCGTTTGATTCATTTTTGTTTGTTTATTTCGATTTTACATTCCAATGATTTCGTTTACATTCTATTGATAGACTACAATCAGTTTGGGCACGTGTGTATGGACGGTTGGTGTGGTTGTGATGGTGTGCGTGATATATCCATAAACAAAGCAACTAAAAATAGACTGAATGGAAAACACGTAAAAAAAGCATTCACACAAACAGTTTAGTTTCTCGCTCGTTTGTGCTCTGTCATTGATGTGATCGCATTTTTTTTTTTCTGAATAAAAAAATTTGGCATTTTTATCATCAAAGTTACTAAAACAGCTGATAAGAAATTAAAAAAAAAATTGTCATTTAGACAGTTTGGCGACTAGTGGAAAATCGGATTATCTCTTACTATATATACCAACAAAAAAGTTGCTACGGATTTAGAACGAGAGACGAGCGTGAAAAGCGAAAGGGAGAGAGAGCAAAGATCGATTTTTTTTGGGCGAATCGCAATAATTCGGACATCGGTAAAACATGGTGGACGCCAGTTTATCGTATGAAATTCTAATGTATCTCGACTCATTCTATTTTGGTAAGCAAAGATCTCATTCATTGTTATTGAAATTGACCGTCTGTCTGCTCTATTAACTGTCTGTTACTGTGATGCTATTTTAGGTTTATTGGCTCTTGTCGAGTTGGGTGTATTCTCTTACAAAATGGGTAAATTTACGTTTGATTTGCAATGCAAGTCCAAGTCCAATTATTAATTTTTTTCCATTCTCCCGTCGTCTCCTATCTTCACAGTGAAGCTGGGTCATCGTTATAATGCAACATGGATAATGTGGGGTAAGTGTCTTTCATCATTGTGTTCCTATGAACTTTTTTCAATCAATCCGCTTTTTCCGTACAGACGTCGGATTTTTATTGGGAACACTGTTCCTCGAGACAATACGTATCATTTTGGGAAGACAAGGTGAGTGTGTTTCACCTCAAATCCACCGTTCCAATCGATTTTCTCTTTCTTTCGCAGGTTCACTGAGTAAACATAGTTGGCAGGTGATTGTGTCGGTGATACTAATATTTCCATGTATGGCTGGCATTTGGTACCTGATCTACATTCAGAAAACTAACATTTATTTGGAAATCGTCTTATGCTCTTTGGAACTTTTGCTACAGTGCGTTCAACTTTTTTATGCAGCGATATTCTCAGTTACTGCATGTCAAAATCGTAACTCATATTACTAATATTTGGACTATGACATCAAAACAAACAAAAATTTAACATTTAACTCTAGTCAGTTAAGTTTCGATGCTTGTAGCCAAAACTCTAATAATTATTGTTCTCATTTTATACACAACTACAAGATAACGCGGATAAGTTCGCTCTATTTCTGCAAGGCATTTCTATTTTTCGACTACATTTATATATTTAACCGTTTATTATATATTAAACCATAAAAATCGAATAAACTGTTTCATTTTTATGAATACTACGAATGACGTCCTTTGAATGACAACAGTACCTTTGAGAAAGTCGGTCGCTGAACAGTGGTTGATTTATTTTTGAGTTTTATTTGTTTTACTTTCCACTGATTTCGTGTAATTTCACTGTCAGAGCACCGTTTATTTGGGCACGTGTGTATATGTGTATGGATGTCACCCAAAAATAAACTGAATGGAAAATCACGATGTCAAAAACTATGCATGCAAACAGTTTAGTTTCCATCGCTCTCGTGTTCTGTCATCGTTGTGATCGTTTTTTTTTTTTTTTGAAAAAAGGCAATTTTTATTGAAAGTTTCTGTCATCATTGTGATCGAATTATTTTTAAAAGGCTGTCATCGTTGTGATAAAAAAAATCATTTAAATTTATAATTGATAAGAAATCAGAAGAAAAATCATTTAGGATATATTTGACGTCAATTGAAAAATGTTGGTGTTCTGTTTCTGTGAAAAATCAGTTTACAATCGGTCGATGTAAAAATGTGTCAAAATTCGCTGATTTAGACCGATAAAAACAAGAGACGAGCGAAATAAAAAGAGAGTGAGAAAAATAGAGAGAACATCGGTGATACCATTGCTAAAGCATTGCTGTGATCACATAACCGGCACCAATTCTGATTTCGACCACGTGTTTTAAATTTTCGGTTGTATTGGATTACTTGGACATCGGATAAATATGGTGGATGCCGGTTTTGTATATGAATTTGTTCTGTATTTCAATTCATTCTATGTTTGTAAGTAATGATCGCATTCATTGTTATGAAAGTGGATATCTGCTCTATTAACTTTTTTATACTGTAATTTAGTCTTTTTGGTGGTTGTCGAGATAAGTCTATTTATTATCAAAATGAGTAAGTTGAAAATATTATTACTACTTCAATATATTAGTACTCACTAGAGTAAGCTCTATAGTATAATTAATTTCTTCAATTTTTTTTTTGGTTCTCAGTGTACTTGAAAAGCAAAGGTGATGTACTGCGGGGTAAGAGCTCTTTATTCATTGCAATTTTTCGATTTTTAAATCGATGATTTTTTCAATCAATATTTTTACTGCACTTTTACAGACATTGGAATTATGCTGTCAACATTATTGCTCGAGGCAATCCGAGTTCATTTGGGAAGAAAGGGTGAGTGTCTACAGTTTCCGCAAATCAAATCAAATTCACTGATTTGTTTATTCTTTCGCAGGTTTACTGAGTGAACATGGCTGGAAAGCGATTATTTCGGTTATAATGATATTCCCGTGTATGGCCGGTATTTGTTATCTGATTTTCATGCAGGGAATTAAAATTCGTTTGGAAATATTCTTCTGCTATGTGGAACTTTTGCTACAGTGCGTCCAACTTTTTTATGCAGCGTTATACACAGTTACCGCATGTCAAAATCGTTCATACCATCAGTAGCATCGACACAAAAATTCATATTTTGAACATGTTCAAAAGTGCACTCATCTCATGAGAGTCGAATATCATAGTAATTTAACTCAGGGAAAACAAAGAGGCTATCACTGTGTATTACAGGGAACTTCAGGTTTACAATCATTGTCATTCGAAAGTAATCATAAGATATGACAGAAAATCAGTTTGCTGATTCAAATAGGTCGAATAGAGTATTTGGCATCAGAGCCGTTGTCCGGTCAAGCATTACTTCAAAAAAAATTGTTTAAAGAAAACTGAATTGTCTACCCTTATCCAGATTCAATGTTTATTTTTATTTTCGATATTAAAATTATAACAAATCTCGATCATTTTCTCCCATTTTCGAATATCCTCTTCTTTTTTCCAAATCAATGCCGTTATATAAAAAAAATGTTTCCATTCAATAAACAATAACAATAAAAAAATTTGTTGAATTATTAATTTCCATCTCAAATACAAAAATACGTTCATAAATGTTAATATTTTTATAATTTTGATTTCAAGCTGCCCATCAATTTCTCCAGTTTCATAGCTTTCGATAAATCGCCGGTGATTTTAAGTTTGCCCGACATGAACGCCGACGTTGCTTTCAATTTACCCGAAAACATGTCGAAGAAATCATTCGATTTCATGGTCAATGTGGCTTCAGGTGTGACACCACCATCGCCTTTGCCGCAACTACCTTTTCCTTCTTTCAAATTGAGGAACCAAACACCAGCCTCATCACCTTTTACATTAAAATGATAAACAGCATCTACTTTTTGTACCAATTCTTCGCTCAAGTGGCTCTCAATTTTTTTGAATAATCCTTCAATTTGGCCCGGTGTAGCACCACTAGTTGCCTTTGAGAATACATTATTTATGGAAGTCTCTACATCCAAAAATGCATCTGGTACTAGATTATCGGCATTCTCCGGATGGCAGGCATATTGTATCATGTCAGTGACACCGGATTCCTTCAAAATTTCATCATCGATGAAAAAGTTGCCGGTCGTTGTTTTCGGATCACGACTTAAAATACAGTACGCAGCATCTGCACATATTTCCGGCTTACGCGAGTAAAGACTACTATTGTCACCCAATAACATTTCAACAGCTGCGGTTGCAATGGCTGTGCGTGGCCACAGCGCATTTACACCGATCTCACCTTTGTACTCGTGCGACATTCCTAGCACACACATCGACATTCCATACTTGGCAATGGTGTAAGCCACATGATTACCAAACCAAGTTGGGTTTAGATTTAATGGCGGTGACAAGTTTAGAATATGTGCATGATCACTTTTTAGCAAATATGGGATGCATTCTTTGGACCTGGAGAGTGAAAAAAATATGGGTGAAAACATCGGTGAAAAATGTTCAATGATTAATATAAGTGGTTTTTTGATGATTAAAATAAGTGACTCCGACTTACACAAGAAAAGTACCACGAGTATTAATATTATTCATCAAATCATATCGTTTCATGTCCGTCTGAAGTGTTGGTGTCAATGAAATTGCACTGGCATTGTTCACCAAAATATCAATGCCACCGAACTACAAAAACAACAAATTTGAGGTTAATTGTGACTCTGCCAAATGTCTGTCTTTAATTGACTAACATCAGAAGCCGTCTTACCTTTTCAACAGCACTCTTCACCACTGATTTAACCTGTTGTTCGTCTCTGACGTCCAAAATAAGTGGCAACGCCTTTCCGCCGGCTTCTTCAACTGCAAAACAAATATACAAAATATAGATCAATATCCAACTTTCACAAATGGCCTATTTTCGATCAATGCAATTCTTACTCTCTTTGGCCGCTGTATAAATGGTTCCCGGTAATTTTGGATGTGGTTCAGCTGTTTTGGCAGCAACTACAATATTTGCACCATCACGGGCTGCTTTCAAAGCAATCGCTTTGCCAATGCCACGAGATGCTCCCGTTATGAAAAGGGTTCGACCAGCTAATTTTCTATACACAAATGAAATGATCCAGTTCAACATTAAATAAAATATATAGAAAAGAAAAATAGTATTGAGCGAATACAAACCCAGTATTTATCATGTTGACCTAAAAAATACACTTTTTCACTGAATTTTTCGAATCTAGCCGTGACACTGAATATAAATATATGTTTTGTCTGATTTTTCGTAATTACGATCAAAGTTCAAATAGCGAACAAATTTCACTTGATAAACATACGTAAGCACACATATAGATTACCCGCTACCACATATTAACATGTATGCTTATGTTTTTATTAACTTTCTTGTTGATTTTGACAAGTGAAAACACACAAATAGATTTGACAGACGCGGATGAATAATTGAAATGGAATACAGCGACATCTATCGACTGCGAGGGGAATGCGAAATTCATTTTTAGTATAACGATTCGGTAGAAATAATGTATGTTTACTTGGTGAAGAAAAAGACATTGAATGAGGTATTGAAAACACAATTATTGAATTATTTAACAAAAAAAAAAGTTGAAAATGCCAAAAAATTACATGGCTCGATGCATTGTGGTCTATGTGTATTAACATGCGAGTGATTGATGTTAATCGATATTTATTGATTTTATTTGATATGGCCCGTGTTAAACCATTGAAGCCAATGATTTTTCAATGGGAATTTGAACCGGTCTACATCTCATGTAGTATAAAATACTAATTTGTTGCAAACAAACTAAAATATCTTTGATTTTACAATTGTCACTTACAAACTATACAAAACTACACGCGTAATACCTTTCGATATTTACACGGTGCGCGAATGTATTAATGACAAAACAGCTGAATTTGTTTATTTACATTTATTGACATTTGCCGCTTTTGTGTGTTGTTTACTGAATGAAAACAAAACAAATTACTTTTGAACATTCGTAAGACACACAGACATTGACGCAGTGTGTGTGTGTGTTAGAGAGAGTACTCTCGCTTGCTTCTTATCAACACAGAAAACACACGATTTTTGTTTGAATAAAATCTATTTTTATAAATCAACACCTGGAGCTTATACCTAATTTATTGAAAATTGGCCGAACTCAAATCAATTTAAATACTTTTGAAGCCGCAATTCTCTTTAAGAATTCAGATTATTAATTTCCGAAAAAATGTGAATTTTCGGGGAATGAACTTTTACTAACTTGATTTGACTACTTCTTGCTTTCATTTTAAATGGATCTAGATATTAAAAAGATTATGGATTTGTATTTAATGTTTCAATATATCTTTAATTGAAGTGCAGTCCGGATACTTCGTAGGAGTCTGGGCAAAACTTCTTTGCCATGATCGTGTAAAGCATGGGCGGTCCAGATTTCAAGATGTCAATATCACGCGTTTGACTGGTCCATAAATGGATTCCAACCGTTTCGTTTGTTATTTTCTTGAACGCTTCTTCGACAATTTGAGGATCTGTTTTGAAAGCTTCTTGTGGGTCTAATGGAAAGAATACGGTTCGTGGCGAAATCATAAGTCCATTGCAAAACTCTGGTCGCATCAAATCAAGCGCCTTTGGGTTATCAACCTTGCATATTCTTTGGATTGCTCGTATCACTGCCCCCGGTCCATTGAGAAGCCAAAGATTTGGATTATATTTTTCAATACTTTCTCTATTCACCAATGACAAAACCAAAATTATTACAAATTGTTTGCACGAATTAAATGATAAACTAACCTTAAAATCATATCGATCATTCCATGTCCAGTTCCATTCGAAGCGAATCCGAGAACGGAAGCATT